ACCATAATTTTTACGTTGTTCTTGATTTTCTTTTCTCATAATGAATATTAAAAGGCAATGTGTACTTAATTATTCTTCGCTAGTAAATTAATCTCAATCTTTTAAAATATTACAGGTGGATAGGCAAGAAATTCCTGCAGAAAATTGCCTCTCATATAATGTATTTTATATCGACGCAAAAATTATCATCATCAACATCATGTTTTGCTCATGTCGACATAGAAAGGAAAAAAAAGCAGAAAGAAGAAGAATAAACCCGACATTTGACACGATTCGAGTCAGCTTTTGGCTATATTTTCCTCTGTGTATATCTATGAACATGGATGATTTTATGTGCCTGATTTGAGTTCCATCTAAGCATTGAACATATTGTTTTGTCTTTTTCAGCTAATTTTTGAATATGACAAACAAGAAAAAGAAAAAAATATGTTGCCTGACATTTTTATTTGATCTAGCATTCTAACTCTATTACGAAAAAAATCACGTCAATAAATGATAAATGTTCATATAGCTAGCAGCAGAAAAGTCAAGTTGGCATAAATATTACATATATAAAGCATGAAGAAAATACTTTCTTTATAAGATAAAAATAATACTCTGTAGGCTTCTTCTTAAGGTTTAATCTGGATCTATTTCTAGATAGACAACAATATATACACAATAAATATGTTATTAGTTTCAAAAAAGAAAACTCAAAGGAATAAAAGAAATAAAATATAGAACGTTTTTATTCTTTATTCGACTATGTATACTTCATCTTGTTTTCCTTTTTTATTAGTTTCAAATGTCTCTGTTTAGATTTCTCATTAAATATATATATTTGCACATAATTGTGATTTAAAGTTAAGAGTAACTTCTATATGTAAAACACTATATTTCTTGTGTACTTATATACTTGATATTTTGTTTAATTGGGACAATTTTGGAATAACACTTCAACTAGTTCAAGTAGAAACAGATGTACTACTAAGCTGATATTAATGAACTGTAGCTAAATATTAGGAAATAAAATCTTGTATGTAATTTCTATGCTTTCTATGTGTCTACAGTGACATTTTTAGATATATATATACAAATGTCTCGTACTACAGTATCATCTGACATGATTCGATATATACCCAAGTGGTTCCAAATATAGTTGATATGAAGTGAAATGAGCGTGCTAGTATATCGAGAAAAGTCACAGACATATCTGTTTGAGTTTGATGTCATTAATACGTAAACAATCAAAGAAAAAAAATATGAGTGCTTTTATTCGACGAAAATATATCCCAATGACATATATAAGTCATTCTCAATCCATATTATTTTTTTTTCGGTTGTTTTTAAACGCTCCCTATTTTTGAAGTCGCACCAGATGTTAAACAGAAAAATGAACTATTATCTAGGTATCAATTTAACTATGAATATTAACAGTTTCTTAATATTATCAGTCATGCAAAATATTCAAAAATCATGCAAATGATTACTTACTTTTTCTTCTTCTTGTTTTTTATAAATTTGAAAAATATGTATTGAATTCGGCATTTAAAGCCATTTATCTACCATTTCCTACGTCATATATTTATGACTTTTCCGTCGCTATCGCTTAATATTTATTCGATAGACGTAGCCTTTTCTGATAATGCACTTCCTATACGTCATACATTCCCGAAACGTCAAGTGTTTGTGCAAGTGCTAGCATCTATTTTCCACTTAGCATCAAACTTTTTCAACTTAATCTGTGTATATATATATATATATATATACATATCCCTGCGAGTGTTTTGTCCTTGAAAAAAGAAGTATGTTTGTTATTGATGAATGCGTGTTCAATTCAATCAACAAAAAAAATTTTTTCTTCGGTTATTATTTTCTATTTCTAACGCATTTTCATGTCGATTATATAGAAAATAAAATTTTAATAGATGATGTACTTACACAGTAGTAACTTGGGAAGTAAAACAAATATATAAATTTAGTTTATCCTATTAGAAAAGAAAATTTTTTTTTTTATTTCACTTTTTTTCTCTGCTCTTTTCAACAACCATATTACTACTCTTCATCTTCATATTCTCTTCCCACTCTTTCATATGATGAACACAGAGTGTAATTGACACGCAATAATAATGGGGGGGAGGGGGAATGGATGACTAAAAGAAAAAAAAGAAAAATAGAAATAGTTAAAGAACAAGATAATACAGAATACTCCTTTGGAAAGAGTAATATTTGGAAGAAACCTACTTGAATACAAAGATCAACCACGCGTTGTTGCAAAGATAAATATACAAAAAATTTCATTTATTCTTAAGCTTGAATATACATGTATTTATAAAATAGAGGAATATAATTCTGATTGGATACATTTTTGTTTTAATTAGCTTTAGTTGTTACTGTAAATAACAATAGTAAATCATAACATTCACTATTAAAACGATGATGATAGTGTTTGCTACTATGATAGATAAACTATTGAGTACATACAAGTATAGAATACCAAAAACACTAATGGTTTTCTCATTCATTGCATCGCCATTAGGGATTTGTTCTCACTCGTTCTCTCTTTTCTCTATCCTTATTAGCATTCTATATTTTTAGAATAAATCCAAACAAAAAGGAAAGAGCTATTCATAGTAACGATTGGGACGACCTACACGACCAAGTCTTTTGTAAAGACAAGCTGACTAACAAAGTAATCAGACTTTCATCAAATTTAATTATGGTTGAGATAAACTAAAAGTTTGTCTCAGTGACTATATAATTGTCAATGAATATGCTCAGTAAACATATTATGGATAATCTATATTATTGAATTATTAATTGAATTTTACAAGACCGATATAAATAAACCAGATAAAGAGAACTAATAAGCTATCATGAGTAAGTCTTTCATATCTCACAAAAGTAGCTTCCTTTTTGATTGTTAATGATTAAGGGAAGTCATACGAGGCTTAACAATAAAGTAGGAACAAATAAGTCTTTACTAATGGCTGATCTAACTTTAGTTTTGTGGATTTTTAATGATCACCAGTGGTTTATTCAGATTTGTTTTTCTTCCGGAGAAACTATTTGAAATTCTAAGAAAGAAAATACCTATTTTCTTGGGAAAGGACTAGCACACAAGTGGATCATTAAAAACCAATTGTGTTTCTTTCCTGTTTGTTCGAAAAATTTGAACACAGTCTATAGACGCTGTTCTAAACTCATTTGATAGAAAATTTTTTCGTTCAACAAATTGAGGAAGTTTGTTTTTAAGATAAGTTTTTTCTTGTCGAAGGCAAACTGAAAAGGTCAACAGTAACTCAATTGTACAACTGTGATTTTATATTGTTTGCAAACATTTATTGATGTACTCATGTCTATGTTTAGCAAGTGCAATGATAGAATAGATTTAGAATTTTCAACTTCATAATCATATAATCCCTTTTCAAGAATCTAGTTTCTTATTTTTGATTGAGAGAAAATGAAATTTTATTATTACATCATCATATGTAGAATTTTTATGTTGAATAGAATGATACAATTGTTACACGAGAAGAACCGAACAGTTTAATAGTTTTCAATTGACAAGAAAACAAGCAAGAAAATACGATTACAAGTAACGAAGCATTGTCGATGTCTATTACATTTTTTTTCTTGACAATATTTTCTTGAAAAATCTTTCACTTAAAATTCTATAATTTACAGTGAAAGCTACAAAATTTTATGAGAAATCTAACAACATATTTAAAAGTTCAGTGAATTGGATATCAAGAATTTTCATTGATTTTGTTTTCGTGTTTCATGGCATTGGCAGTTGAAAGACAAAATACATTTTAATAGTTTGAAATTTGCACTGACAAAACAAAATCCTTTTTCGAAAAACAAAGTTGATTGATTTCCATAATAAGATATTCTTTATCGAACGAGCTGAAAACATAGGCTTTAGACTGTGTTTTTAGTTCCTGAATAAAATAGGAAATAAACACAATCCGCTTTTCATAGTTCATCCGTTAGTATTCGGTCCATTAACCATACGCTCCTGGAGAGGACGAATTCAATATCTCGGAAGGCTTCGTCCGCTTTTGGCCTTGACGCTAGATAAAACAATGATAATAATAATAATAATAACATGTTTATATAGAAAAAGAAATCAGTTAATCTTCCGATATGATTATATCTTTTCTTTAATCTACGAATAAATCAATTTTATGTGTAACATTCATTGTCACACTATGGGACTATTGTTATTTGGTATGTGTGCAATTTAATTTGAAAAGGATAAATAATTCAAAGAAAGATGTTGATTTATTCAAGTTGATTACCATGAAATACAAGACAATTAATTTCTTATTGAAACAGTTTTAATCAAATGCTTTGAAAATTAACACAATATGTGAACATATTATTCAACTGATTCTCTGCTCATTTGAATATTATTATTTAAAAATATTATTTATTTATTTATTATCATATTTTTTTACTTTCTCTTTATTATGAATTTATATGCGAAAGGATCTTCAAATTTTATATTATGAAATAGTTCATCTGTTTCTTAAATAAATATTTTTTGATATATTTAGTCGCGACGTCTGTTCGATGTCATTGTTTTATTTATTTCTATCCACGTCACCTGTCAGAACCTATTCAATAATTAAGAAAAAAAAAGCTTTAAAGAAAATTAATAGACAAATGGATATTAACTAAGGAATATGACTAGTTTATAATTTATTTAATAACAAGAAGTGCGTTCAAGCTTTTGAACTATATGAATTCGACATAAAACCTAATGAGAGTATTGTTCCAAAAAAAAATAAGATTTACTAAAAGTCTATTTATATAATTATTATTGATAAATGTCAACCTGACATAGCCTATTCTTTTCTGCACTATACAAACTTTGTTTATTTTTGTCTACAAATATTTGAATAGTGGTCATAAAAGTAGAAGTGTATTCCGTTGTAAATTAAAATTTTTCCTTTTTCTTTGTATTAACAAAAACTAACAAAAAACTGGCATACACACATGTATATTTATAAATTCTATCGAACTTTCGGTCCATATCTAGCAAACTCAATATCATAAAAATCTGTATATCGATGACAATTCATAATATTATTTCGTATTAAATATTCCCATCGAAATGGATTAGCATTTTTTTCTTGAATTTCTTGTCTTTCAGCATTCCATTTATCTAATAATTCTTGAGATACAGGTATAGCTGGAAATGGTAATGATTCAGCAATTGCTAATAATGTACGATAGAGATAATCAAATGTAAATGTACCACCAATTTCAATTATAACTCGATTTGCTTTGATTGGTGTAACAAAATATTCTATACTACCTTTACCAGCACCTCGTTTTTTATTTAAACCTTTAAAATACCATGGATGCCAAGGTGGATCAACACGCCATATAGAAAAACATCGTTCCATATCAATTCGTTTATTAACCATATCACGAATTGTATTAAAATGACTTTCTTTCATTAAGCCAGGAGCAAGAGCCTAAATTATGATAGAAGAAACAGAAATCTTATATAATAGAAGAATATTATTTATTTTAGTAATATACCATAATACCATATTGTTTATGTATAAGTTTATCATGAATTATTTCTACACCACGACATTCAAGTAATCGTCGAGACATGTTTGGATAAACTTGTTGATTTGGTGGTGTGTCTGGGACACTTTTCACTTCAGATAATTCATTTTGTAATGGTAATCCAACAGCTATATTATTTCAAGAAAAAAAAAACTGTATTATTTATTATAGAGATGAGATTATATTTAAACATACGAAGAACTTTTGGAAATGGTGGTTTATCTTGTGTACCATTAACTATTGTTCGATTAAATAGAATAGGTTGTAAAAGACGTGAACCTTTAAAGAACGAAGATTTTTAATCACAGAAAGAATTTGCGGAGAAAGAAAAAGAAAGCAACTAACCATTTTTTATCAATGGTCGACACGCCATATTAATCTGAAAGAATATAAACATATTTTTGATTGTATCTAATGTTCTTGTTTATTTGTATAAAAACAAGCAAATTATTTGCTTATTTTAACAAAATCATTCATGTTGAACAAATGGTATTTGCAACTCCTTCCATTCCATTAATCGAACATATTAATACGGTTAATGTACCTCGATATACAAAAAGTTTTAAGTCTCAGGTAGGACGATATTTGAGCTCCGACAAAATGAGTCTTGACTAATAAGTCTCAGAACACTAGAATTTCTTGACATTTGAGTTCCGAACACTTGAGTTTCACATCATATGAGCCTCTTATATGAATGACTTGACGTAAAGAAATGAAATAGTAAAGAATATCTATTAAAAAGAACATTTCCAGAGTTATTTAGTGCTTTTGAGCCCACACATGAAATACTTCAAGAGGAATAAGACTTATCATTGTTCTCTGTTGAGATAATGAATTTTCAAATTATAACTCAAAATAGAATTTTAACTGCATATTGTGATTATCTCGAAAATGAAAAGGCGCAAATAAATAGAAATCTAATAATAATCTAAAGGCATTCTCAGTATATTATTTTAAAACTGTATGCTTTTATTTCATCTTTGTAGTGCACAGTAGTTTTTCCACGATTCCTACTGTTGATAAAAATAATTTTTGTATTCATCAGTTATTCTATCCAATATTTATATCATCATGAAAGTTGACTAAAGACTTATACTTGTGCGAAGAATAAACGTTGAAAGAGTTATCTAAATCACTATACTTTGTAACAATGGTTGAATCGAACAAAAGGTTAGAAAAGACGACTCGATTGTTCGCAAACTCTAGCATTGGCATTAAAGCAAATTCTGTTGAAAGTACAAATAATTGATTTTATGAATATACTATTTGTAGACTAAAAACTATCAGAGATAAAAATATACGAATATTTAATACACTGATAATATGGTCATATTATCATTTTCGAGATAACAACAACAACTAGTTAAAATTCCTTCTTTGAACTATAATATTAAAATTCATTACCTCAATATAGAACAATACGACCGAAGAAACCATCGAAACTAAAATCTACCGTTTCAGCATACTTTGTGTCTAAAGTGGTGTTTAAGTGAGACTAGCAAAAGTCTAAAAGGGTCCATATAACACTTTTAAATGAATTTAATGACACTTCGAGTATTCTGGAAGTTTCAACCGAAAAGAATGTTCCTTGATCGAGATATGAAATTTTCAAGGAAGTCCAATTTGTGTGGACTTTCTATAATCAATGACTATTTTATTTATGGGCAAACGTTTAGGTTAGATATTCAGTAAAACGATCATAACTCAGCTTTATCGACTCATAGGCACGAGTTCTTTTTAGGATTTTTCTAGTCTTACCACGCTGTTCTTGTGAACCTAATACGAGTTCAAATGGTGGGTATTCATTTGGATAAGTCTCTTGTAAGCTTCAGTTCTCTTGATATATTCAAAGTGTAAGTTCAAAAATCGATAAATAACTTTGAAAACCTTCGTTACAACGGGTATGCATTACTATTACACTTTTGTAGTAATATATTCGTGTATGATGCTCAGGTATCAGAAACTCAAATATCAAGAACTTAAGTAACAAAAATCTCATGTGTTGGGATTTCAATGTCTACCGCTCAACTCTCGAATGTATCATAAGTGTTGTATTCATCATCCGAATCGCGTAAATAATTTAATAGTTTGATTAAATACTAAATTTAATAATTAGTCATAATCTTCAACGAAAGAAAAAAAAATGTATATTATAAACAAATAAAGAGTAGACTACCTTTCAAAACTCCTTCATATTCTCGACATTGCTCAAATTTAACTTATATATATATTGGTCTAAAGGTTTACTTCATAATCAAAAACATATTCTTTTCTACAACTACTATGATAAGTCATCTGAAGAATAAAACATGATGATTATCTTTTTTTTATATTTATTTCGGATATTTCTTTTTTTATTTTTTCTTCTTCACGCATCTAGATGGACGTGATTCAAAAAAACAAGAGTAGCAATTAAAAAAAAATTATCTTTTCTTTTTTAAGCTACAAATTGATATGGAATTGGTTCGACTATTTGTGGTTTATTGCCTCGTGTACGAACCAAATGTTGTTTACGTGGACCTTGTGGCTAGAAGACATGAAATAATAATAATAATAATACTGTAAAATGAATATTTATGTATGAATATTACCTGTCGTTTAATACTAGCAAGCGGTACACTTTTTCCAGATTCTTTAGCACCTCGTTTCAATTGTTCATTAAGTTTAACACGATTAAGAAAATCAGCACGACATTTTGAGTGTTTAACTTCAAACGAAATTAAAAAAAAAAAAGAAAGTTTGAATTTCTCTTTTAAAAAGAAATAAAAAATAATTTACCATGTTCAATACGAACATTAATTCGTTTAGCAATAATTCGATGACTAAAAGAAAAATAAAATCAAATAAACTTTTCATTGAAAACTATAATTAAAATTACATACCGAACACGTTTGTTAACAATAATACCAACAGCATGGCGAGTTACATTAAAAACACGACCGGTTTTACCATGATAGAATCTATGTGGCATACCTTTTTGTACAGCACCATTGCCCTAATCAAAAATGATTACAATCATATATTTCGTTTTTATTAAGAATTTAACTGACTTTAATATCGACAATATCACCACGTTTATAGATTTTCATATAAGTAGCCAACGGGATTCGGCCATTCTTTTTAAAATCGCGTGCAAATAAATGACGCGTACCCCGACGATAACCTTTTGGATTTGTCATTATATCAGTGGTACCGACGAGAAAACTATATTAGTCTTAAACAAAAATCAAATAATAAATATTAAGAAAATAAATGAAAGTCTAACTAGAAAAAAAAGATCCAAATGTTCCATCAATAAGCAACAAGAAGGTAATCAATGGATAGAAAGAACCTCCACTACAAACGCACAAATATTAGGCTCTTTCAGAAGAACAAAACAATAATTCATCAATAACTAACGACATCTAAGATGTGATATTACTTACGTTATGTTACAAATATTTCAAAAATATAATTCGAAGGCAAAACTGATCAAGGCTATCCCACTCAATACAAAATTGCAATTGATTTTAATTGAGCCAGAGCAATCAATCTATAAGTATGGATTATATAAAATATAATCGATTCAAAATAAAAGAATGAATTCTGGTACTGTAATTTGGTACAACTGATTGCTAGCGGTACGAGTTTTACATAATTTATGTATACTTCTTTATGTTAACAGCTTATAACTGAAATTTTAATTAAAAAATCAATAAAACTATTCTTTTTAATTAAGAAATCAAGATCGACATCGTTTAATTCTACAATATCTTTTCCTTTTATATTTATAAATTGTTATGCAAAATTTACTGACTAGAGCCAAAGAGAATTCAAACGATCAACCTTTCTGAAAATTTTTTTCCTATATATATTTAGCTCGATGCAGCCATTCTTTTAAAATAAAGTAAAGATAAAACAATTTGCAAACTTAATTAATATTTAATTAACAACAGATCTCGATCTAATTAAATAACAGTTGTTGGAAGGACAAGAAGATAATCGATACAATCTTTCAGTTTGTAAATGGTGATATAACATCATGTTTATTCAGTCATTTTTATGTCATACATTCACTTGATAAAAAAATTAATAAAAAATGAGGATATTAGTTTACTTGAAAGTATTTTTTTTTACGAAGAAAAATGAGTTATAGATATTATTTTTCACAATAATAAAAGCATTGATTCAATTATAATTTGTCTTGAAACAAATCTTACATAGTTCAAAATCATTGTTGTTTATTGTATTTATTGAATTATTATTATGTTTAACTTGAATCTGTGATGAAATAAAATTTAATAGAGACAAAACTAGAATATGATTATTCAAAAATAAAAATGAATAACATATTAGATCTAAGTCACTGAATCATAATAATTACATTGATATAGTTGAATTATCAGTTGGTAAATTATCAACATTATTAACAAAGATTAATAAATTAACCGTAATCAACTCAAAAATTCTTCGTACATTAAAATATTAGAAATAATAAAAAATACTTCATCCATTAGATAATTAAGATTTATAAAAAAAAACTACTTATGTAACACGCAGCAATAATTACCATCGATACATGACTAAGTAAATAAGGTTATTCTAGTCTTTGAACATCTGCTGAACGTTGTAAAATTTGCATTTATGTTTTCTTTCCTGAACACTTCCTCTGTTCGATGTTTCTTTGTAATTGAATATAAAGTTTATCATCAACTTAATACAAGCTAATTAGAATTAAAATATTAATAGGATAGTTATACGTACGGACTGCAATGGTGATGAAGAAAATAGATAATTGTATTAATAAACCCAGTCAATCGAATTGTTTCTCTACCGAACAATCAGTTAATGTAAACCAATGCTTACAATGATGAATACTCAAAAAGTGTTCCATAGGTTTCGATTCTTTTTCTAAAATATTTTTTGTATCTTGGCAGTATTTCAAGGCTAGGACAAAAGCTGTTATGCAAGAGGAATTGGATCAAATTTACAACAATCCAAAGAAAATACGACATTGGTGAAAATATCGAAAAAATTTTATCAAAATTAATTCTTTGACGTTGTCGAACGTTATGGAGTTTGAGTTCTTCGCCTTTGGTGAGCCGTATCTTCATCAGAAGGAAAGTGCATAATATGAAATTTTCATCATAGATAGATCTTCGTTAGATCTACGATTCATGAGAATTTAATTTATTCTGGTACAGCAAAAGTAGAGTTCCTCTCGAAATACTAACTGCTATGCGATAGATGTATTTTGAAATTTCATAGTGGTCGCTATTTTGAGAATAACTTTGTTTGTCTTGTATCAAAACGAATAAAACTTTCATCGATGGTAGATCTAAGCCAGGATCTATCTATGATGAAAACTTCGAAAGGTACTTACTCTTCTCATCATGGATATACGGCACACCAAAGACAAAAAATTGAAATTCCGTAATGTTCGGCAGTGTCGAAAAAATAACTTTGATAACATTTTTCTGATATTTGTACCAATGTAGCATTTTTTTTTGAGTTATTGTAAATTGAATCCAACTCCTCTTGGATGATAGCTTTTGTGCTATTCTTCAAATACATAGATTCAATATCTATTCATCTTTGAATGCAGATAAAATACAAATAAACAATAAAAGGGGATCGATACTTATGAAACACAATTTATGATAATGTCTATTTGAGGACAAAATATCTGAGCAAATCTGATTGACATAGAATTCAAATTTACATACCATATCAAAATTTCAACGTGACAAGTTTCGATTTCGATAATTGGCATCAAAAGAAACTACCAGTATACTACCAAAGATCAGGTGTTATTTACTGATAAATTGTGAGATATTCTACAGTTGTTAGATTATCAAGTATGAGTAAATAGTTGATATATAATATTTTGAATAGGTCAATATGTTCAGCTCTTGTTGCTCTACTCCTTGGTACATAGTGTGGAAACAAATCTTTGATTTGTTAAAATATAATTCTGAAAAAACTTTCAAGAATTTCTGTCCATGTGCTTGTCTTTCTAGAGTTATCATCATTCCACAAGATCTTTTATTCTTGATATGATACTTAAAATAAATCGAATAAAGAGATTTGATCTGAAACTTTATCTATGAACAGCTCTTAAGACCATTAGAATATTCTAAAAATGTTAGTCAAATAGAAAGATTCCTTCTTGAGATATCAAATTGTCTAGAACCATAATTTCTTATAAAAAAAAAGTCAAATTGTCTAGTTGTTTTGATAATTTAATATCTTAAGAAAGAATCGCTGTTTTTGGCTGAAAAATCTTAGGATAATCTAACGGTCTCAAAGGTTGTTTATGTACAAAGTTTCATGTCAATATTCGTTTGTTCAATTTTTTATAAGTACTTTATCAAGGATAAAAATTCCAGTAAAACAGCTATAACTTCAGAAGGATAACGCATGGAAAAAAATTCTTCAAGACTTTTTCTAGTCTCGATAGACCATACCTAACGAGCGGTACTATCTGAGATGATTCTCTTGTTAGCATTGCTTGATTTTGAGAGAATACTCAACAACAAACTATACACCATTGAAAACAACAAACAAAGCAAAAGAAACACGTGTCTTTGATATATGTACAAAGACAGCTAGGCATTTAACAAGATACAACAAAAAAGATAGACATTTAGGTAAGATGACCCAGTGTTATCAACACAGATCGTAACAGCTATTTTCTGATACTATATCATTGTTCAATTGGAAAGATTCAAACTATACCATGAAAAAATTTTGTCCTGTTCAGCTCTGTTGAACAAAAGTTTCCTTTAGTAAAATTTCTCGCCAAGTTCTAGGTCGTTCTCGATAAAATTTGTATAAGATCAACCCTCTTGTTTACCATAGGTACATCGTCGAAAATGAATCAATGCTTTTCTTCCCCTACAGGTTTTTTTTGGAAGCATTTGACGGAAATTGATCTTGCATTTATTATCAGATGAACAGAAGAAAATAGTACAACTTAAACATGTCATATCTTCAATGAATAGGTGCCAAATAGATTATATACCAGAATAGGATTGAAATGAAATAGCAAGAAAATACGTTAATATAAATAGCTCTAACGTTCAACAAATATCTTGCAAATGTATCGCACTAGACAGAACTACGCTCTAGATTTTCAATGATTATCAATTAGCACAAGTAATAGCTCGCTTAAATATATCGTACACGTAAACTTTGAATCAAAAAGTTGCGATATCGATAGCCATGTTATACTTCTTGATTTTGGCAAAAGCATGACAAAATCATCGTAATCTTAGACACCGAGAACTAGTCATTAGCACATACCAATCTCAATATTGCTCTAGCCGCTGGACTCTGTTTTCTACACTGAAGTAAATGAGCTGTACCATTCACGAAATAATTTTAAAAAAAATATTGTTTTCAATTTTAGAAATTCTTGAAACTGTCCTGTAATAAATTTTCTTGTGTTGTATTTTTTAGAATGAGGAAGAAAGAAAGGAGTTCCAATGATAAAAAAATCACGTTAATGCATCTTATAAATCGTAGAGAAGATTTGACATTTTTATAAAAGAATATGAATAAAAAATAAATATTAGGGAATATGGATAGCTAGGGTCGCTCAGAGGTGAACAAGTCAGAGATATTAAAATATCTTTCTCAGTCAAGTTAATTCAAGCCAAGTCTGATTTGACTTGCACTTAAGGCATTTTTACTTGGCTTGCCCAGCTCTAATATCACTTATATTTTTGAAGAAATGAGATAGCAAAATCTAACAAGGGAAGTATCTCAACTGTTTAAGAGTCTTTGAATTCATCTTTTATCTACAAGTAGGTTACAGCGAAACTAAGAAAACTGTAGCAGGTTTTTTTTGTTCCCATGGCTTGTTGGTCAAAAGTTACAATCATTTTTACTGAATTTTAGGCCTAGAATGTGATGTCCATAGCAAAGCCAAATAAAGCTATTTTCACATGAAATCTTCTCCGTAAACTACTCTGATGATTTCTAGTATGCAGTAAAATCTTAAACCAAACGGGATGTTTCTTTCTCGAGATATTGAATTTCCATGGTTAGGCCTTGTATTATGTCCTGTCTGATGTGTATAAGAGGACATTTTTTGAAAACTCAATATCTCAAAAAGGAAACATCCGATTAGGTTTAATATTTTAGTATGTACTAGAAGCCATCAACACAGTTTACGAACAAAACTTTAGGTGAAAATAACTTCCTTGGATTTTACTGCAGATACTGCACTCTAAGCCGAAAATTCAGTAAAACGTTCGTAACTTTTGGCAAACAAGTCATGAGCACAAACACTGTTAGGGTTTTCTTAGTCTCACTGAAATCTAATTATAGTCAAAAGATCAAGTTAACAGCTTTTGAACAGTTGGATACTTTCCTCGTAAGAATATTGATAGAAATATAAGGAGGAACAAAGCTTAGAAAAGTTGGAAAAACTCCAAAAAAACAGAATTTTTCTGCTAAAAGCAGAAGCGGTGGCAGCACTCTTATGGATATAAATGTGGTCATTTACTGAATCCGTATATGAAGATTGTATACAACCTTCGTATTTTGCTGTGAATAATCATAATTTTCCGTATGAAATTCGAAGAAATGTAAAGTGTATATGATCATTTCCGATGCTATACAGATTTAGAATACTTCGTCCTGAAGAGCTATTAATATTTTCTGAAGAGCACTGCAAGCTCAGTTTGTGATCTATTGACATTTTTAAATAATACATGGAACTATGCAATGACACAGTTTCTTTGACCGGTACAAATAGAAGTTTGTTATCTTGTTCCTATCAAACAATATTCGTAATCAAAGACTTTTGGTTGACTTTTTGATTATACCATACTTTTATTTTTCGTATGCCAGTCTATATGAAACATTACAAAAAAAATATGAATCGAATTCAATCATAGTCCAGCAGGATATGAACCAGTCGGTATTTCTTGTCTTGTATATCTGACAATAAACAGTATAACTCTAACACAAAACAATCCAAAACAAAGAAAAGTTATCATTAATACCACAAGTTGATTAAATGATTTTTTTAGAAGTAATCTCCAATGTTTACTTAAAATCCCTATTAAACTCACAAACCAAACTAGCCACGGAGACCATGTATAAGCCATTGGAGATGGAAATATAAAATTTTCAAAAATCCAATAAACAATAATACCAATAGTTAGTAAAATAAGAGAAATTGTTGTTGCCCAACCTTCAACATTCAATGGTAATTTATTTTTCAGCCAAATAGTGAGGTTAAGTGATGAAGCAACGAGTAACCATGCTGAGTAAACTGCATGACCATTTAATACGATAAAACGCATCATCCAAATATCACCCGATCTATAATTAATTAATTGAAGAAAAACAAACAAACAAACAAACAAACAACAACTACTTACTTATTCAATCGAATAAAATCCCATCTAGTCTGCCAAAGAAAAATATGATCAAGTACACAAGCACCGACAATAGTTGCTACCATTAAATAAAGAATAATTGTTGAAAACTAAATATCATAGGTAAATATTTATTGAAATACTAAAATGTATGACTCACTCCAAATTTAAGTCTATCCCACAGGACTAACCAAAATGAATTTAAAAGTATATTAGCAATAAAAAGAATAAAAATAGCCACATGTAAGGTATATGGATGAATATAAAGAAAACCATCGTCAGTTTTTCGCCATATATTTACAATTGAATATACGAGAAAAGCTAACTAGAAAAAAAAAAGGTCATTGAATACAAAAGTTCAAGTATGTTTTCTATTTATTTTATTTTGCCTGCCAAGTATATATAAGTCCCCATATAGAAAATGTAGGACCAGCTGGAGTAAATTCAGTCGGGTTTTCATCACTAACTTTAGCTGTTGATTTATTAAAAAACTCTAATATTAAAAAAGTTTTTTTTTTCTTATAATTGATAATTTAATAATAATTACTATTAGGTCCAGTTGAAGCAAGTCCATTAACAAGACAAGTAAAAATAAATGAAATTAAAGCAAGAAAGATAGCAGCGATTATACCGCCATCATGTACATAGTTTGGTTCTGCTTTATTGCTTGATATATTTTTAACTAAAGCAAGAACATTTATCAGTTATTGTTGATAGACATCAGAAGTGTATTTTTAAAGTTATATGTGCCATGCATGTCCCAATACTAATATTATTTTCGTATTGACTGATATTAGTATTGAGTGATATTTAAAATGCCAGAAATTCAAAATTTCAGTAAATTTTTGTTTTCGACTTATTTACCGTTGTCGTATAGAGCATATTATGTTATATAATAAAAAAACTACTTTTTCGATTTTTGGAAACAAGTTTTTCCTAGATTCAAAATATTATGATAAGAGTTACCCATTATCGCAGATATGTGGTTCCACTTTGTAGGACATGAGAAGGGTTATTTCGTGATTCTATAGGCATATATGATCAAAACAACCATATGTACATAAGTTTTTTAATGGTCAATTTTGTGTGTAAAATCACGAAATAGCACTTATCATATTAAAGAAAACGAATATTACATATCTTTGATAAAGAAAAACTCGAATCATGATATTTAGAATGTAGGAAAAATTTGTTTCCAAAAACTGAAAAGTCGCTTTTCATTACGTAACTCAATATGCTCTATCCAACAACACTAAATAAATTGAAAACAAAAATTTAATAAAATTTTGAATTTCCAACACTAAATGCCATTCAATAACAATAGCTCAATACCATATTAGTATTTCGACATGCCTAATCTGTGTCTGTATATAATTTCTTTTTCTTTTAGCTAAGAAACTTACCGATGAGAATATCCATTTTTAACAATTATTTCTAAAGGTTCTTCGAGTTTATCTACAAGATATTTATACCTGAATATGGTGTGTCATATCGTAAATATTAAGATATTTTATAACATTAACTTACAAGTTCAAGGAGTTGTTTCTTTCTACAGAGTAGTTATCTAGAGAAAATGAAAGAATGCAGTAGTTTTATGACAGATACTGTTGTAAAAAGAAATGTCCATGCATATTTATACAAGCCTTTGTAGAGAACATTATCGCACACAAAAGTGAAATACGATATAGTTTTGTTTACCTTAGTTAATGACTCTAATCTATCAATGACTCACCTTATTTTTCGTTAATTTTTACATAAAAATACTCGATATACGTCGAAATCTATTGTTAATAACAAACTAAAATTTTATTTCATCTGCTATACTTCTTTATCTTGAGTGTCATAGTTTGACATGATAAAATTCTTTAGTTCTTTTTAGCTAGATATCAATAATGATGTAACAAAGCATTAGTAATATTTATTCAGACATTGAGTTTACAGTAAATGAAACAAGACAATAATACCAGACGGTTAGATCAGGACTTCATCTGTCATTATCAAAGAATGACGAAAGACAAAACAAAGAAAATGATTTAATTTGATTTGATTTGTTTGTTCTATTTGTTTTTTGTTGTTGTTTTATTTGTATATTAAGTCGTTTGTTCTCAATTTCATATGGGAAAAAAAATAGAACAGTACTCTTTTTTTTTAACTAATTATTAATATTTTATTAAATGAAATACAAGATTTTATTTATGTCAACTATCAGCTCAACTTTTTCTTTCAAGACAATTGTTATAATTGTAATCGTTAAAGTTTTACTCTTACTGATATTAATATCAATTTGAATTGGTCAACCAAGATGAATTATTCCCAATGAATTTATAAACTTAGTTTGTATGTCAAATTAGGTTAATTCTACTTACGTTTAAATTTCAGCAAGATACCTTTTACATAGTACGAGCACACAAATAAATCTATTACATTAGATAAGGGTTAATAAGGACATTTTTCTCTTCAAAACATTTTTCAAAAAAAAACAAATTTACATTATCATAATGAATCAACCATGGACTGCAATATGAGCATATTTATTCACATTAATTCGACATTAAGATTTTTCGTACTTGTTGTTTCCCCTATGACGCACCTGAAAATTTCGTTCTTGCTTTTCGTTGTGAGTCAAACATATATCAATATATAGAGTTGATGGTACTTATTACTAATATCTCTGAGTCTTCTTTTTATAAACCTTTTCGATGAAAAAGTACGTACTGGGTTGATAACTATGTTATTAGTTGTTTTTAACTAGTTACCGACCTTATATCATGTTCTAAACGTTTGAAAACGAATTTCAAATGGGTATTCAAGTATTCTTTATCTAATAATGCAGAAATTAAAATATTTCAATGTATGAAACAAATCAGAATTGGATTAAGAGCAATAATCTTAGTCAATTGCTGTGTATGGCTCCTTCTCAAATGATATCATTTCGCTATTTTAGCCGGTTATTCTCGAAAAGTAATATAGGCAGATTCAGTGTCCTATGCTAGATTCTAAAAATATCCTTGAAGAAGAAAAACATTGTTCCTTTAGGGTAAAATTACCATTTAATAATAAAAAGTCATATTTTTCAGATTATCTTTTCACGGTTCTCTCATGCTGTGCGTCATCTTATATGTTTCATGGACATAATTAATGTTTAATTAAATATGAAACCTCCAATTAGCTAAATTAAATAATTTTTCAGAAATTTAGAGCACTCTACTGCACACAGAATCACCTAAAAACAAACACTGAGGGCCATTTCTTTTTTTCACTCAGTCAAAATATTGCATATTTCATCTCCTCACTTGTTACAATTGTCTAAACGAAAATCAAGAAGATATTCGTGATTAGTATCATGAATCCTATATTTTGGCATGTATTTTACTCAAAACGAAGAGGAAAACTTTGCAGGTCAGCAGTTTGGAATTATAGGTGCAAAAAATGTTAATATTGAATTAATGTGAAGAAATATTGCTCATATTGCAGTCCATGGTTGATTCATTATCGTGATGTAACTTTTATTTTGAAAACATTTTCGAGAGAAAAGTGTCCTTATCAACCTTCGTCCTTGTAATAATAGATCATTTTTTATATTACAATTTAATAACATAACATGGTATAAAAGTGAATTTTCAGTATATTATGGTAACTTGCATTCATCCAGATAGTTCGATGTATATGTCGTCCAAGAAATTGGATTATACATAAAATATTGAAAGTCTTTAACTCAAAAAGAAGAATGCTATTAGAACCATGATTTTTAAAGAAAAACAGGAACAGACTAAGCTTGAAAAAATCTTCTCCTGTATCAGACTATTATTTTGTCTTAATTGGCGGTGTTACAGTACTTGGCCATAACACATATCTCGATTTGTTTTTTTCCTTAGTTATCTGTTTGTTTATCTGAAAATCATTCATCTTGAACAGCAACAATAGGTTGTTTTTCGTCCTGATTTAAAAATCGAGGAATCTCTTTTTTTTTTATTAGTTTTCTTCATTTTTTGCATTTTTTTTTCGAATGTTATATAACAGATGATTGAAAAGTTTTTAGACAACATATTTATTTACTTCTGCCGCACTAGAAAGTATTTCCGGCCAGTCACAAGCTATGATTTTGTGCTTTTTTCGAAAATGAACTTAGAAGTCTTGATTCAACTTTCGTTCGAAAGTAGTGAAATAATCGTTAAAAAGCTTTAAAAATTTCTTTGGACAGAATATTGTTGTATTTTTACTATTGAGACTTGAAACTAAAGCTTGAGATCTTTATTTACATATCTCTCAATTTTTATTTTTCCTAAATACTCATTGTTGAAAAAACAACCACCGTTTCACATTGAAAGGAACTCTTGTAAAACGCTTGAGTAGAAACGACACTTTAGTTTCAATATGACATTTTGTAGAGAAGTGTTCGCTTTATAAAATAACTGACTCTGACAATGGCCAGGATGTTCAAAAAGAGACTTACAGGATAAAAAAAAACCTATGGACTCACCATTTTCAGGTCTTTCGAAAAAAGTCTCTCAATACTCTTTTACAAAAATAGACACAACATATCTAAGACCATACTCGAATTCTAGTCGTCACTTATAATTTTTGATTTGTCTGAAATACTTTCCAACAGTGCAAAATAAACAAATATGTTCCCTTAAACGTTAATCGACAAGTTGCGTTCAAACTATTTTTGAGTTTGTCAAAAACTATTACACTGTTGTCGAACAAACATTGAGACAAGATTATTTTGAAGAGAACAAAAAGTTCTGATCCGAACTCATAGCTTTTAACTCGCCAAAAATACTTCATAGCAAGTCAAAACTGAACAAACATTTTGTCTAAAAATTGTACGATCACTTATATACGGCTGCATTCATTCTTCAAACGTTGACATATTAGGATAGAAGTCGTCACCGTATATTATTCTGTTTGCTGGTCTACTAAAAATAGCGTCACATCTCGTCTCACTTGATCGAATCTTATATAAATTGTCTCCTTTCATTTGCTGCTTATGTAGCAAAAAACAGGCGTATTACACATAATTCTTATCAACAGACATTACCAATAGATGTAAAATAACATCATTCAATCAGTAATTGATTAATCT